CTTCTGTGGCGTGACGTGCTTGACACACTGGGGTAGAATAGTACATATATGTACAATTTTTCTCAGAGTTACATACTTCAAATTAACGAAAAGTGGGCCTGGGGTGTGTTACACCCCAGTGTGTCAAACAAGGGTTAACAAAAACTTTTGTATTCCTACGGTATGTAGAAATACCGTAAATGAACATATGCATCCTTTGAATACAAGCTTAATAGTATCTTTTAACTATTAAATATAAATTTGAATTTATAGCAGTATTAAACTGAAATTGATGTTTTCCATTTAAGCAGAATGGTGACAAAAGTTGTAATTTTATCGTTGTCATACACATTATTAAAATAAATATACAGCTATTTTATATCTTTATTGCTTTAAATGCTGTTGCTTTAGTAATTATTGTCTAACGTAACTTTCTGGAGAATAATTTGATTTCATTAGTATGATGAAACTGAACTAATTTCAAGTGATCTTATATTGCGCATAAATATGACTTCATTATTAGGCACTAGAAATTAAGGGGCTCATTTTGTACTGACATCCATCTCTTTATCTTTTACAATAAAATTTCGGTTTTATTTTTAGAAATTGTAAGATATCATTTAATAGATGTTCTAAAAAACATTCCACGAACGCGCGAAAATAAGAAATTTCTTATTCCATCTTGACCGCTGAAAGATCATTACGTTGCATTTTCAAACAGTGACCCTTTAGAGTGTTTTTATCGATAAACTTTAGACTGACTTTTAAGTTTTATCGTTAGATTGAAACGAAATTTTTTTCAAATACTTGGATATTTTGTGCTTACTTCCGTTTCTTTTTGTTTTTATGTTATTATTTAATCTACATAATCATTATGCTACAATTTCCACTGATTAAAGAGTTCTCAAGATACATCATGAACATGTTGCATAAAGTAATTGCGAAATTAAACTGGACATAGAGCTTAAATTAACGCATTAAATTCCAGGAGTTTCCTATGTGTTTTTCTGCTTTAATTCTTGTAACTTGAGTTCTAATCAAAATTTTTAGATTGCAATTAATATTTAGGAATAAAATAATTGTTCTCTTTCCAAAAATCTAGTCGGTGGTGAAGTAATATGTCTAGAACAGATATAAAAGTTGAAAGTGGAGGTACAAACAATAAGTGATCCCTATCTATTTATCAATAAACAATCAACTAATAAATGATTTGATCTTTTTTTAGAATACATTAACGTTATTAGTATATAACACTCAAATAGTAATTATGTATAGTATATTAATTCATTCAATTAAAAAAAAATTAACAAAATCATTTATTAATTAAATATTTACCAGTAAAAGACAAGAACCGCTTAATTTTTTAATTCAGACTTTCAATCTTTATATTTATTTTTTAGACATGTTACCTCATTGCCGACTAGATTTTCATAACTCTTTTTATATCAACATCTAACTGTCAATTGTAATTTTAAAATTTTGATTAGAATTTGAATTCTAAGAAAAACATAAAAACGCAAGTAAAGATCTCAATGGATTAATTTAATATAAATTGTTAAATATTTTGTTAAATTATTAAATATTTTTTATTATATTAATCCATTAAGGAACTCAATAAATTAATTTAATAAAAAATATTATTTATAATTTGCACAACTAGTAAATTATTAAAATTGAAATTGGGTTAAATACATCTGTATTTTTCCTAAAATGTGCATGGATGTTTACCATAATATAATAGTTGTATAAATAGATTATTATATTTAATACAATGTAAAATGTATAATTTTTATATTTTATAATGCAAAAGGTTGTACAAAATAATATATAATATTGTACTTATTTCAAATTTATTTAAAATCTATTCCACATATAATATTTTTAAAATGAGTTTCAATTTAAAACAATTATTTATATTACAACGAATAAAAAAGGCCAATGCACAGTCATAGCAGAATCTTGGTGCTTCTATTATTTTCTTATGTGATTTTACATACGTATCCTAGCTTCGACGAAACTGCGTGCCGTTACTTCCGAATTCAACGTAACCCCTAATTGAAACAGAACCATATTATCACGTATTAAATTGCTAATCAATTTAATAAGTACTTGATGCTCACTTGCATCTAATAAATCCTCCTTCCCCCGCGACATCAAATAAATGCTAGCCTGCATCTATAGTCTATACGAACCATTCTCAATGAATCTGTAAAGAAATTTATTGCGAAAAAATATCACTTCATGTTCTTAGCCAGAAACGAACCCAGATCTCCATATTTGCTAGACGGGCGTCCTGCCTTTAAACCACCAAGGCATGCGATAACATTCATCGCAATAAACAATCTAGCGCGTTTTTAGGCCGCGTAAATTCAATAATTATTTAAAGTATGACGTATTGAGGCCAACATGTATAAACTACATATATATCTATTGCTAATTAAATTGTAAGTAACATTTAAGGTGATTATTTTTCTTATTATTCTTATTATTACTTTTTATTGTATTATCAAAGCTAAAACATTTTTTACGGAAGAAATTAATTTATATTGTATTTTTATGTACTGTTATTAGTATTTTTTTTTAACTTTGATCAGCCTATTCACAATATCTCTAATTTCCTTGTTTCAGGTAAGTGCGGAGCTATATTTTTGCCACTTTCATTCTACGTTTCATGTAAGTAATTGAATCACCATTATTAGTGATTATTGGTCTTACTAATCAGTGCATAAAGCGAACTATATTCAATTACACTGGATTCTCCATATCGACGAACTCTGCGATAATAAGCAGCAGGTGTCTTAAATGCATCACCGAGTAAATGTGTATTTGTGTTGCATAGAATGTTCAATATGGTTACCATACCATAAATTCAAATATCTGTCCATTATCAGACAACTACAAGATTATTGTATTATAGAAAATGTGTAACTCAAGCAGAAATCTCTCTTCTCTTTCTTTATTTAAAATCATATAAAAAAAAGTTAGAAAAATTAAATGAATAATGTGTAGAGGAGACCGGGGCTCGTTGGCACAGTTTTCACAATTTAGACATTCCTGTTTTTAAACAACTATTTATTATGATTAAACTATATTAATATGATAGAAATGAACCTTTCTCTACATTTTCATGCTAGGAACGATTCTGTATACTGTATA